TCTCTACACGAAGAGCCACTCAAATTTTAGTGAAGGGAACGAGACGGGGACACATGATCCAACAAACTAGGAATTTGGAAATCATAAATGACGGTTTGTCTCTGCCGTCAACCTCGAGGCGATTGGATGCTTTCTAATTCTGCCGTCAATGAATGGTTGCAGAAACCAGGCTGCCAGGACTGAACATTGTCAAGAACACATACCATCTAAATTAAGAATCATGGGAATTTTTGCATCGAAGGACGTGATATTCAGTCAAATGTTACGAGAAAACACATATTCTTTGAATGAACAGTTATCCAATAATTACGAACATCTATCCATATTTGATGAATAGTCGGTCATTATAAATGAACGAGTGTTCACAAAAAAAATGATGAACGGATATCTACTTAGAATAGACATACGTTCATAATTTAAATTATAAATTTATAAAATAATAAAAATAGATGTCGTCCATCTTATATGGATGGGTATCCATATTCAATGGACTGACTGTCGACGGCCGTCTATTGACATAAAAATATTTTTAAAACCAGTCATTGACATAAAAAGATTTAAAAAAAAAAAAATCAACTTGAAGATGCTGCTAGTGTCCATTTTCACACTTCACATCATTTCTTTTAACTACATTTAGATATTATATTTTTTAATAAGAAAATAAAAGGATTACACAATACATGTAAAGCAAATATTCTTATGTGAAAAGAAAACTTTAAAATAAAGATACTATTCATGCACATTTCCCATAATCAACATGAGGCAGCCATATATTATCCACATTCAGACACAAAACCAAAGAATTCTTCACTGTTTAAGACTTAAAGTTGACGTTTCAACCCACGTTCACATCTTTTCAATGCTTTTTCAGCATTCCCCTCTCTTTCACCACCATTGAAAACGGAGATCCGTCTATATAATTTAGCTGAGCATCCATAATTTTAACGGGCACTCAATAACAGTGAACATCCGTCCATTATTAAAGGATGGTCATCCGTAACATTTAAACGGATATTTATTAATTTTGTTTTTAATTTTTTTTAATTTATAGTTTGAACAAATATCCATTAAATATGGATGCATATTTATAGTAAATAGACTTTCATCCATATAATATAAACGGGACTCCATCGTTCCTTTCGTATGGCTAAATGTCCACATATAATAGACTACCATCTAATAACAATGAACAACCATCCATAGTTAATGAACGACCGTTCGCTCATAAAATATTTGTTAATGGTGATACGTGGTTAGTCTGAATGTGATAACACGTAATTCAATATAAAAATTCGATACACAATTCCGATGTCCGTAGCATTATTATTAAATTAAACTCAATGTCACTAACCAAATCCCGGAGTATTAACAATATTAAAAATTATAAAAAAAAAAAAAAAAAAGAAGGGCATACGGATTTCTGTTCAAGCTACAAGGGCAAGATTCGCCTCTCTTTATACAATTTTCTCATTCTTTGCTAGAATGGGAAAGAATTAAAATACTTAAAAAAATTCATCCAAGAAATTTAACCTTAAGGAGGATAATATCATCATCTTCAAACAAAAAAATGGCTTTAGACCAACTTATAAATAATAACTACGCAAGGAACAATGAGATTTATTCCTAACCCGATGAATGGGTAAAATGCTATGCTTAATAACAACAGATAAGAGTAATTAAAATAAAATAAAATAAAAAGGATGGAGGACGTTTGTCTCCCTGTATGTGTTCACTTTCAAGGCTTCAAGCTAAACTTGCCAGGCTCATTATAATTCTTTTCCAGCTGTTCGATTTTGTTGATTTTGAAACCCCGGATCCTTATTTCTTCTGGTATTGAAGTATCTTTGTAGTCGACGCTTTCAATTGTCCAGCCCTTGTTCTGCACTGAACCTTCTACTTTCACCTGTTCAAAGGAATATACACAAATTTCATCACATCAGCCATTCTTTTTTTCATTCCCAGCTTCTTCTTCCATATTTAGTAGTATGAAGTTGAAGTAACACATACCTCTGCCTTGTCAACAGCATCAACGATAAGAGTTCCGTCCAAAGAGAGATCTTCGAGAAAGACATTACGGCCCTTGATGACCAATGTTGATTTTTCAGAAATGGAGCAATTTTTGCCAACTTTCTTTCTGATGTCTGAAAATATTAGCCCCCATTTTGGCTTCCATGTGATACGAGGCCACACTTCTACCTCTTGGCCATTGAAGACCTCTTCCACAGGATCACCCACTTGGACGCCAGCCTGACATATAGAAAATATTAGAAATTCAAACAAATTAGTTTGAGAAAGAGAGCAAGATTCTAATACTTAAAACAATAGAGTAATACAATCACCTTTCTCAGAATTAGGCTGTTTGCTCGATAGATGGCCGTTTCTCCAGAAGTTGCACTATGATATGGATTTCCCTTTGGCACCTTCATAAAATTAAAAACAATTTTTTAGAAAAAAAAGAATGAAACTTGACGCATCAGTACTGATACTTCAATCCCTGAATCAGCAATAAAAGATAAAAGCAGATTTGAGTATAAATTTCAGAACTAAAAGCAGAAACACATCCATTGTCAGCGAAATCTTCCCAACCAAAAATTTAAAGCATTCCCCAACTATGAAATATTAAATGGAAAAAAGATGGAGCTAAGTAACTATTGAAAGCCACCATGTTAAATAAATCATGCATATGTATGAATATATTGAAAAAAAAAATCAAAGATTCTAAAAATTAGTTTAGAGACTAACAAAATCTAAAAGAAGATGTAATGTAATTGTTTGCTACAATTTTCCATATAACAGTCAAACTTCCACTAATCAATATTAGAACACTGGCAGCATATCTCTGTGAACAATCATAATGTAATCACAAACATCCTTGATTTTGAAGGAGCTCTTTCAAGCAGAGACAAAAAACAATAGTCTAAATTAAAAAATTATACATATCCAGATACGAATACAAGGACCAGCAACCAATGTAATGTATATGATCTTTTAAACTTCAAGACTTACTTCTCAAGCATCCAAGAGGAAAGGTCAAACTAATATAGAGATTAAAATGAGGAAGATAAAAAACTTTATTATTCCACTGAAAAATTTTCCACCTCAAACAATAAAATTCTAAATCAAGAATTCCCAAGAATATTTGGAATTCCTAATTCATTTTGTAATGTTGATATCTAAGTTGCAGCATGACTATTCATTTTCAACTTCGCTTGAATCCACCATCTAATGTGAAAACCTATGAGGGACTTAAGACGAGCTTCTAATAGAATATAATGGACTCCAAGAACAATTCAGGATCATCAAAACATATTTATACCTTAGCAGCATCCTCTGGGTTGTTCTTTACAGGTGCGTAAGCAAGCCATGTATCCATCACCTAAGCAGTGACATAACAATTGGTCATTTAGTAAGGATTATGCCAATAATAAGAATACCTCAAGAGTAACAGCACAGAACCATGAGAAAAGCAATTCTTGTTAGCTCAAATATAAAAGGCCTGACCCATTAAGAGGAATAAGCCCAAGCCAAGACAAGAAAATTGAATTTTGAGTGCTGAAAATCTAAGGAGAAAAAGTTACCGTAAATCCGACTCTTGCAGATGAAGGCAATGTTTTTGGATAATCTTGCATCATACACTCAAGCCTAGTTGAGGATTTGAATAAAGATTTAGTAGAATCTTTGTATCTGCACCAAAATGAGATGACAACTCGACATAATTTCAGGTTTACCTTCTTATTTATTACAAGCATGGACTTGTGAAGCTAAAATAACGACATATACGCATCAAAACTTCAATAACTTGGGATCAAGCCCAGAATATTTTTTTCTCACATAATTGGCAGTAATACTAAATTCAACTTCTTTAGCCTACCAAGGAATCCAAGATCACTAAGAGCTTCCTACTAAGTGTAATACTAAATTTTTATCTTCTCATTAGCAATCCCCTTGAGCAGAATACTTAGGTAAACAATGAAAATTCTCCGAAGTTTTCCACTCATTATCCACTTATACAGCTATTGAACTATTATCATTAATAATTCATTTACAGAATCATTCTACTGCACTTGAGTTGCACTAAATATTCAGTCAAGGCAAGCAGTGCTCTGCAGCAACAATAAAAGTTTAGAGAAAAACTGATTTTGTACATCAAATAGAACTTTGATCTAATGAAAACTTAATTTCTTGATTGATGCAAGCAATCAAACACCATGAATTGCAATCCCAAAGCAGAAAATGATATCTAGTAAGATGTAATGGTAAAAAGAGAATTACTTTGGGTTAACAAACTCCTTTATTGCACCTCCAGTATTCTTGAGCTCCTCAAGGTAAGGACCAAGTTCCAAAATCAACTGCAGAGTAAATAAATAGCAAACGTTAAAATATTGAACACTGTCAAACCTATGCAGAAAACATTATATATGCAAGAGTATGTCTTGCCAACCAAAATTCAGATCAAACTGTGCATTAATGTAACATTGAAATGCTGAAGACAAGAACCTTCTAGTTTCAGCAAAGCCTCATCATTTCATCAATAAAATATTTTGAAATTCTAAAAAGATTTTGCATTCATAATGTAGATATACTAACCGATATATTCTTGTGATTATCAAACATGTTCTTTCAATCTTTCTAGCATTCATTTTTAAGCGTAACTTGCAAAAGTAACTAAAACTTGTGTAATGACCACTGAACCAACAGTCATAATTGGATAAAATTAGTGAGGTTAGCATTTAACAAGATACATTTAAAAAAAAAGAAATATGTAAATAAGATTGCACTCGAAATTACCTGGTTAATATTTCCTGGGAAAGGAGAATAGCCAGTTTCACAATTGACATCTCCATTGGGATGCCCAGTCGCCCGAAGCAGAGGATCCAGCTGATTGTATTCTACATTGATCACCATAGATCTCCCTGAAGTTTAATTAAATTCAAATTAGTAATTAAGCCTAAATTATAAGCACCAATGCTAGTTTAGCAGAGTGTGGTTTATAGTATTTATTATTATGTTACACAATGATAGTGTGGAGAACTAAAGATAAAAACATTATGGTAAATATAATGTTGTTAACATCACATGAAAAAACATAACCCTGGGATACACAAGAAGGAAAGGATTGAACATAAATTAAACTATCATGGACCATGAAGATCTCTGTAAATAAGACAAGCCTTTTCCCCTCCTAATTTGCAAAATTTCCGTAACTTCTAAAATATTCAAATGTGTTAAACTTATCAGTTTTTCATTATAATTAGGGTGCGTTTGATTCACAAAATGTTTTATTGCTGAAAATGTAAGATTACCAACAAGATATATTACCTTGAAAATTACGGAGGAATGTTATATCAATATATTTGGTTAGATTAGTGGGTACAAATAATTAAGATGTTTGGTTGGGAAGAACAAAATATTATCGACAGAGGCTTTAACTAAATTGCCCTTCCTTTTTAATATCATTATAATAATATTATTATTATTTAAATAAATTCTTTTAACCCCCTACATTTGAGAATTTAGCTAAAACACCCGCAACAACAAAGTTTAAATTTTAACAAAATACCCCCAGCCACCCAAGACCACCGTCGATTGTAGGCCACCATCGCTGGCCACCGGCGTCAGTCACCAAAACAGCACACGACCGGCGAGATCAAGTTAGCCATGCACCGTTTTGGCTTTTTTCGACCAAATCGAAGGCCGAAAACAGCTAGATCACTGTGGATCTAGCCAAAAACAACCGGATCTAGGGATAAGAAACGAGTCAAGTAGTTCGCAAGCTACTCGAGCTCGACTCATGAAAAGCTCAGACTCATCTCGAAGTCAATTGAGTTGATCTCGAGCTCGAGTGGCTCGTTTAATGGGTCAAGCCGAGTTCGATCAGGGCGAAGCTCGGCTCGATTGGCTCGCGAATCTCATCACGCTCAAAGGGTCAAATTGCAAGTTTTGTAACTTTTTTATATTTTTAAGTTTTTAAAATGACAAACAACCCATTTCTCACAACAAACTCGAAGCTTGAGCTCGTTAGAGCTCGATTACTCGAGCTTGAGCACAAGCTCGAGTACCCACCCATACTCGCAAGCTCGAGCTCGAGCCCAAGTATTCAAGCTCGAACGAGCTCGGCTCAAACTTGAACTCGACACTGTTCATCACGAACTGAGCTCAAGTGTCCAGATATTTTGCTCGGCTCGGCTCGGCTTATATACACTCCTAATATCTAGATCCACGCTGATCTGGCTATTTCCATCCAGATCGAAGGCCGAAAACAGGTAGATCACTGTGGATTTGGTCGAAAACGGCCACAAATGGCCGATCTATTTTGGCCGTTTTCGACCTTCGATCTAGCTAGAAACAGCCAAATCGGCACACGGCTGACCAAATCCCGCCGGTCGTGCATCAATCTGATGACTATTGCTGGTGGCCCGCGGTGGTGGATGGTGGCCAGCGGTGTTCTTTGGTGGTTAAGGCTATTTTGTTAACTTTTAAAATTTTATTTCTGGGTTGTTTTAGCTAAATTCTAAAATGTAGAGGGTCTGAGCTAATTGCTATTTGGTAGACATTTGAGGGCAATTATATCCGGAATGGTATTTAATTAAGGGCAAAATGGGTATAAAATTAAGATTACCCCAGTAATCTTTAAATACCACACCCTAAGAAGGTAATATGATTACCTCCTATTTAACCCACAGTAATCATTATTGGTATTGAAAGATTACCGAAATCTTTTATTACTTGACAACCAAACAAGAGAATGTCCGGAATTAAAGATTGATTATCGGAGTTTTCTTTCCATAGCCCTAACCAAACACACCCTTAATGTCAAAATGATTGTGAATCTAAAAGAAGTTTTCAAAATCTCATTCACATGCAGGTTAAGGAAAATAGTTAAACTTTCCCTATTGGTGATGTTTGTTCCTTCACCAAGGAGGCTAGTGTCCAGAAAAAACAATATATGGAATTAATTTAGAGTCTTTAAGGACCCCTTCTTCCCTCCCAAACCAAAAATGATTACTTTGGTTTCACCCAAATAAGCAGTATAACCTACAAATAGAGAAACATAATATAATACATGAATTCCTTGGGCATTAGTGAAAGGAAAAAAGCATTTTATAACATACCGTCGGCATGAGTAAGCTTGGTTATGCCTCCAATAGCTTCTTTCGCTTTACGTGGAACAGCAAGAGAGTTAACATGGTATTGTTTGGTAGCACTGACTCCCAATGATGCTGGAATTGCCTACATAAAAATAAAGTACGTTTATCGTATAGCCAAGTACAACTATATTTAACCAGAAGTAATTCTATAAGAGACTGTGAAATTAAAGCAACTCCACCTTGAACAGAAGTCCATTGGTATCTTGAAAGAAAAGAACCCATCTCACACCAGTATCATGCCTGAAAATATGACAAAACACCACCAAAATTATGATACTGCAGATTGTTGAACCAAAATTCAAGTAGATCTATAAGATGCAACTTGATGAACATATTCATTATGGCAAATTTTGATAGGCTATCTTCTCAAATATATGGGTGTGAGTATGTGGAAACCAAGAAAGTTACTCCCGATGCCAATTCATCAGGATTGAAGTCCAATGAATAAGTACCTTAAATAGGGGAGTGAAGTTATCAAACAGATGGCTTGAGGTGTAAATTAGAACTCTTTCTTATCTCATACTTAATGACTATCATTTACTTTCAGGTAATGGCCTAATACAGATTAGAGGACAGTGTTTTCAACTGTATTCATCACCTACTCAAAAAAGTAAAGCACATACGACACCAAAGTTCACAAAACAAAAATCCTCGTGGTAACACATAAACCAGTAATTAGAGAAAAGGGACAATTTTGACTATAATAACTTTCATAAACATGACCTAATTCAATAAATTATGAACAAAGCATTTGAAACATACCATGTCTTCAAAAGGCCACTGGAATAAAGAAGAGAATGCACATCACCATGGCCATGAGGCTTTGTCTATACAAACAAAAAAGTGTTAACTAACAAATATGAACTGAATATTTAAGGTTAGAGAGATTACATAAACTCTGAGATTTTCTCACTTATAAAAAATATTACGGAGAATAACTACCTGAATTCTGTACTTGTTTTTAGGATCCAGAGCAATCCGAGCATCATTATCATCTAAGCATGCAACTTTTTCCTGAAACAAATTGTAAACTTGGTATTTTAATAGAGCTGTTCTACAACTATGACCAATATTCCAAGGCATCAAATTATGGTATTTAATTTATAAATAAAAGAAATACTTCAACAACCAATCATGTACCTGCTTCAGAAGTTTTACTTGTGTAGGTTTCATTCCAAAATAAGAATTTGATTCTAAAAGCTCCAATGTGCACAAATGTGTATCATCCGACGTCATGATAGCAAAAGGAATCTCTTTACATTCTGCTACAAATTTGAAAGAGACATCATTGCTTGAAAAGTTGAGAAAAAGCTACATAAATTTTCTTATAGAAAGTGATGCACACTATGAACTTAAGGAGGAGAACTAAGTCTGATTTCATAATTTCATAGTTTTCATACAAAATCGAAATCACACTGTTTCAAGTCTAGCATGACCACCTACTTTACTATCAGTATTTACATATATTTAGCTTTTGCTGATGGCAAACCTTGTGTGAGTTCGCAGCTAGCATCCTGAAGAGCCAAAATACACTCAATGTAGTTCTGTAAAAAACACGTTCCAGTAGTGGTTTCTGCAGGAAGAGCCACCTGCAAGATGTTAAAAACTTATTAGTTACTGATGTCAGTACAACTTCAAACTGATTTAAAGTTGAAGTTATCATTAGTGGTTTTGTCAACTATACAACAACAAGGTCAGCCATCTTCGATGTTTAGGACTGTCAGATTGAAAAACAAGTCCATAAACTTAAACGTAAATAAACTTGAACATTTTTTGACAGATGAGTGGTATGAAAATAGAAAGATAAGATTATCATTACCACTGCATTTGTGAGATGCAATAACTAGGAAAAAGGAGAGATAAAATCATAAATTAAAGTAAAATTAACTAAGCTATAAAACAAAACAGTTATATATACTACGATTATCAAAAATTATTGAAAACCCAATTAATACGATGATAAAGTACACACCTTAATTCCATTGTATCCAAGGCGTTCCCCAAGACCACCTGCGACAAGAACAAAGGCAGCATTCTTAGCTTCCTTAACTCCTTCCTGCTCATAATTGATAAAGGTATCATTGCCAAAAGTTAACGATTCTCCTGTTGGGACCTGCAAAAATTGTTGGCAATGTATCAGCCAAATTCTACTCGTTCATTTATTTGTTGTGTTAAACAGCTGATATTAATGGAATCAAACATCATTCTCTCCAGCTATATAACCTCAAGTGAATGACACACTTCTTAGTCCCCTCCCCCAAGCAGAGTGGATTGAGCTACAGTTTATGGAATTTGGTGTCACTCAATTGTTATAAAACTAAAAATCCATCTTCTGCTTATTTAAACTATATTTTATGCAATTTTGCTGATTCCGTCCTGGGGGGGAAGCCAAAATTATCAAGGAGCTGGTATAAAAATAGGCCAAGCACAAAAGGAGCATTTTGCTTTTAACAAGGAAACTGAAGCATAGAATCGAGTAGACATAACATAAACCAAATGAAATTATGTGGATAGATGACTTCTGGCCCTTATTTATGAATTCCCATATTATCAACTAAAAATACCATATAGCTTTATCACAATAAATGTTGATTGATAATCAAATTGCAATTCTTGCTAACCAATCAACAAACACATTTATATTTGCAGACATGTCTAAAAATTGCTTATCTCAATTATTATACACCAGGAAATACTTTCTGAAAGTTGGATATTGGATTGAAATTCATAATTAAAATTCTATAAATTTAACATAATTTTCAGTTGGTTAAATCACTAAAACTGAAAATTGTAAGTTTAAGAAGCATGAAATTTAAATTTACATACAGAAGGAGTGAAGCCATCAAATGGATTCTTCCCAGCTTTTGAGTCTGTTAAAAGTTCTCTAGCAGTTTTAATGTAAGATTTCAAACCACCAGGATAGCTTGAGTTAAGCCGAGCCACCTAAAAGGAACAGGGACACAAAATTATAAGAACAAAAATCAGAGAAAAATACATACTTTGACACTAATCAAAGAATCAGTAGCCATCACAGAAATACTTCTTTTTATATCCTTATCATAGAGACTCATTTTAAAACTTAAGAACAGAACAATAGGCAAGAATATGTCTAACCAACATTTCTTTTTCTAACTCTACTATTTCATTAAGAATATATGCATGTACTCAAAATAAATAAATCATTCTCTTATGCTAAATAAAGAAAAAAAAAATTCCACTGGACGGTTTAATGGCAACACTAAAATTAATAAACTTCTTACTTTTACATTTATACGTTCTAAGTTTTGACTACAGTTACGCTCAGACATAGTCACATCATTTAATTTTTCAAAGGCTGTGAGATCAGATAAACAAATGACCTCAACTTTAACAAAACTATTAAAAGAGATCTAACTATCAGCCTATCACAAGATTAATTTGTTTCCAAATCACTCTCATTATTTCACTCAAATATAACTCTTCTAATGCATTCGAATTTAACAATATTTTATCCATCCCAATGATCTTGTCATTCATCCTATATAATGATAAAACTTGAACATGGGATGAATGATAACACTTGAATGTAAACCAAATACAAAATAAATTGCCACAAAAATTTAAAATAATTCACCATACACATCCACAAAACACAATATAATTGACAAACAAAAATGAATTACCTGATCAAAGAAAGCTTTTTTCTCCTCGTCATCAACGCCAGGCTCTGCCCACTGCTCAAACAAATGACTCTGTCCCATCTCCGTCAACATCTTAGCCAATTCAATCTGCCATGTCGGCGTCACCGTCACCATCACCACCAAATTCAAATCACAAACAAACTTAACAAAAACCAAATAAAACACAGCATATGATAACTCTACAATGGTGTACCTGCTCAAAGGAAAGGGTAGAAAGATTTTTCAGTAGATTAGGAGCGGAATTGGCGAAACCGCCATCAATGTCGAGTTTGGAGAGGTTATCGGTGGTTGATTCAAGCGTCGAAGCCATGAGAAGGAAGAAGCAAAACGACGAGTCGTTTGGTGGAGAGATTGGTTAACGAGATGAGATGTAGAGAATGTTTTGGGAGGAGTTTCTAGGCAGTTACTATACAAACTACTGGTTTATAGCGTACGTGTTTGAAGGCGAAACTTGCGTTTCAGTTGAGGTGGTCTTGCTGATGTAGATCTTCAAGCCGAATAAGTTTTTATATGGCTGGTAACTGGTCACCGGGAGATTACCTGTTTGCAACCGCTTGTTAGGGAAGAGTCTTTTGTTCGAAAAGGTAAAAAATTCAAATTTAAAAGTGACTTTTGCTTTCCCCTTGTTGCTAACAAACGTTACTACTTAATCACTAACGACAAAAGGGCAAATTCGTCATTACAATCTTCTGTCGTCATTCTCACTCAGACTCCCTGCCGTCAGTTCTTCCTCGTTGAAACCAACATGTTTAACTAAATGACCTTAATGCCCTCTTACATCTCCGCCACGTCATAAAACAAAAACCACCACCCTCTTCTAATAAAAAAAAAAAAATTAGAAAAATTATCCCTACCAAATACCCATTTTTCCTTCTTAATATCAAATACCTTTTCTTTTTCTCAATACTAAATACTCTCTTTTTTTTATTTTCCTCAACACCCTATACTCATTTAACGTCTACAAACATACAAATCTAAAAAATAAAACCACTATTTGATTTTGTTTTAGTAACTGTGAGGATATTTGGAAGGCTTGGGTTGCATGGGAGGGTAAGGGGTGGACCGGCAACTGCTATGAAGAAGAATGACAGGTGAGCCGCCGGTTTTGAAGGAGGGTGAGAGGTGAGCCGCAACATTAGAGTGGGTGAAGGAGCAGTTGTCGTGGGAAGTTTTGTACTCACTTGGACTAGGGATGTGCACAAAGCCCCGCCTTGCAGAGACTTGCCTTGACCTGGCTCAAACGGGGCGGATTTTCTCCGAATCGTTCGGGCTTTGGGTCGGGATCGGACCCAAGATTGGCCTCGGAATTTGGGGACGAGTCAGGATAGGTTTTGCCCCGGCTATATATATATATAATTGAAAATCAATCATATATACCTATAATAATTTTAATATTTGAAAATCAATTGTACATTATACAATGACAAATTATAACTGTGTAAGTATTTTATGAAACTATATATAAATAGGTAATAAATAAAACTATATTAAATATAATAAATCATTATAAATATTTGTAATATATATATATATATATATATATTAATATTATACATAATATGTTAATGCTATGAAACAAAAGTTATACATTCGACATTATATATGGTATATATTTTACATTATACATTATATATGGTATACATTTGACATTATACATTATATATTATACATTGTATATTAATATAATGGTTTTTATATTTAATATGTACATTATATATTTAATTTATTTTTTTATGATATGGTCTTTACATTTAATATGTATATTATATATTTAAATTTTTTTTTTTTTGGATTGGTATATATAATTTAGAGAAAATGATAATAAAACTAAGGATACAAAAATACAAAAAGCCCCCAAACGGGGAATTTGTTTTTTTTCCTAGATTCTCCGAACGGGCTTCGGGCTGGGATCGGGGAATCCCCTTAGGCTGTCCCCGACCCTACCCTGGCCGGTGCCCATCCCTAACTTGGACTCTTGGAGTTAGGTTTTGGGGTGTTTAAGCTTAAGCTTTTTTATATTTATTCATTATTAATAATGGAATTAATTGCAACTAATTGTAAAAGAGGGGTCAATTACTATTCTATCCTCTCCCGGTTAAAGTAACGTGAGAGTACTAACGGCGGGGTCTAATTGAGAACTGTTAAAAGCTTGGGTTAGGGGTTGGTTTCTGTATTTTCGATTAATTTATTAACAAAAAAGAAATCTATGGTTATATGAGACTATGACTCTATGAGTCTTTTAAAAGGGTATTAATGATGATACTTTTTCAAAAAGATTTTGGTAGAAAGTGTCACGTTTTTTAACTGGCATAATTTAATTTTTTAATTTTTTAAAACTATTTTTTAGATGCTAAAGAACCGGTAAATAAAAGAAAAAAAAATGAATAGTAGATGTCACAGAACTGGCGATTAAAGAGTCATATTCATTAATGCAAAAAAATTCCACAAAACAAAAATTCTCAAACTGATTCAAAGTAGCANTACTAAGTACTTTTTTTTTTTTTTTTTCCTCAATACCCTATACTCATTTAACTTCTACAAACATACAAATCTAAAAAATAAAACCACTATTTGATTTTGTTTTAGTAACTGTGAGGATATTTGAAAGGCTTAGGTTGCATGAGAGGGTAAGGGGTGGACCCGCAACTGTTATGAAGAAGGATGAGAGGTGAGCCGCCGGTTGTGAAGGAGGGTGAGAGGTGAGCCGCAACATTAGAGTGGGTGAAGGAGCAGTTGTCGTGGGAAGTTTTGTACTCACTTGGACTAGGGATGTGCACAAAGCCCCGCCTTGCAGAGACTTGCCTTGACCTGGCTCAAACGGGGCGGATTTTCTCCGAATCGTTCGGGCTTTGGGTCGGGATCGGACCCAAGATTGGCCTCGGAATTTGGGGACGAGTCAGGATAGGTTTTGCCCCGGCTATATATATATATAATTGAAAATCAATCATATATACCTATAATAATTTTAATATTTGAAAATCAATTGTACATTATACAATGACAAATTATAACTGTGTAAGTATTTTATGAAACTATATATAAATAGGTAATAAATAAAACTATATTAAATATAATAAATCATTATAAATATTTGTAATATATATATATATATATATATATTAATATTATACATAATATGTTAATGCTATGAAACAAAAGTTATACATTCGACATTATATATGGTATATATTTTACATTATACATTATATATGGTATACATTTGACATTATACATTATATATTATACATTGTATATTAATATAATGGTTTTTATATTTAATATGTACATTATATATTTAATTTATTTTTTTATGATATGGTCTTTACATTTAATATGTATATTATATATTTAAATTTTTTTTTTTTTGGATTGGTATATATAATTTAGAGAAAATGATAATAAAACTAAGGATACAAAAATACAAAAAGCCCCCAAACGGGGAATTTGTTTTTTTTCCTAGATTCTCCGAACGGGCTTCGGGCTGGGATCGGGGAATCCCCTTAGGCTGTCCCCGACCCTACCCTGGCCGGTGCCCATCCCTAACTTGGACTCTTGGAGTTAGGTTTTGGGGTGTTTAAGCTTAAGCTTTTTTATATTTATTCATTATTAATAATGGAATTAATTGCAACTAATTGTAAAAGAGGGGTCAATTACTATTCTATCCTCTCCCGGTTAAAGTAACGTGAGAGTACTAACGGCGGGGTCTAATTGAGAACTGTTAAAAGCTTGGGTTAGGGGTTGGTTTCTGTATTTTCGATTAATTTATTAACAAAAAAGAAATCTATGGTTATATGAGACTATGACTCTATGAGTCTTTTAAAAGGGTATTAATGATGATACTTTTTCAAAAAGATTTTGGTAGAAAGTGTCACGTTTTTTAACTGGCATAATTTAATTTTTTAATTTTTTAAAACTATTTTTTAGATGCTAAAGAACCGGTAAATAAAAGAAAAAAAAATGAATAGTAGATGTCACAGAACTGGCGATTAAAGAGTCATATTCATTAATGCAAAAAAATTCCACAAAACAAAAATTCTCAAACTGATTCAAAGTAGCAGTTACTTTCAGCATTTCAGACCGCATCTTTAAATTTTAGGGAGAGCGATTTTTTGCACCCAAGGTTTGACGAAACACACATTCCCACCAATTAAGTTTCAAAATGACATTTTTTCACCCATAGTTAAGATCTGTCAATGAAATCTGTTTTTTGACAAGAATAAAATTATAAAAATACAATAATACCCTTATCATTTGAGTTTATAATTTTATAAAATTTGCTATAATTAAAAAATATTCTAAATCTTTTTTTTTAAAAACCCAATTCACTATCATATTTATGCAAGAACATCTTTCTCACCCACCACCTTGGGTGGCAACCTCCCTCTCTCCTCCAACAAGCCCACCACAATTACTCACGACCCTAGCCGCCAGTGTTGGCAGCCTTGCTCTATAATTTATATCACACAACCAATGTCAAAAGGAGTTATTTTTGTATTTATTTTCATGGATTTTATGGGTTTGATTTACTATTTTCTTTTTCTCTTGTTTTGTTTATTATGAATTTATGTTCATGGAGTTGAGGTGGAGGAATTTTTGATGGAATTAGAAGTGAATATTTCTGTAAACCAAATTCTGGTTTGTTTGGAAGATGTATGTGAACCAAATTTTGGGTTGAAAATTTGTGAAGGCAGAATCCTTTGCTCTTTTTCCTTCTCTGTTTCAATTCTCTCTCTCTACTTTATTTGATTATTGTTGTGTGTAACTACTTGGTCGTCGGCGGTTGCCCATCATTTACAACCTTCCCACAGCCAACTCACCCACCATCTATTAGACGAAATTCCTCACCCAAACTAAATTCTGTTTTTTTAGAGCAGTTCTGTTAAGCAAAATCTGGATTGTATGGAAGGTTTATGTGAAGTAATTTCTTGGTTGTATTGAAGAATTATGGAAGGCAAATTTAGTCTTACTGAAGAATTATGTATAATCTTTTTATACGGAAGATTTTTGTATATGGAAGAATTATGTAAAATTTTATTGTATGGAAGATTTAAGTTTAATTTTTTATTCATAATATTCATATGATATTAATTTATTTATTATATTTGCAGTCTGACTGACAAAAATACCCTTTTTACTGTTAAAATTAACGTTTGAATTTAACAATGGGTGAGAAAGTGTCGTTTTGAAACTTGACGGGTGGGCAAATGTCAGTTTGCTAAACCCTGGGTGGCAACATGTTCGTTCTCCCTAAATTTTATTGGAAACTGACCATGACATCCCGCCGCACCCCATCTTCATCAAAGTCTAATG